AGAAGATGGATGGATAGATTTGTGTCTCTGTGTCCTGTGACTGGCACCCCATCTATGTTGCCCCCCTGCTACCTGGGGTAGGCTCCAGGCCTTATCCTGGAGAGGCATTTGGAAGATGAATGGCTGGATGGAGCCAAAGCAAGCGGACGAAACGCATAGACATGGCAGCTGACACACAACGCTGACCTAGCGTGTAATCCCGAATGCCACGGGCTCGGGGTCCTCCCTGAACACATCACGTCTCAGGTCCCGGGTCCGTGTCAAGTAGCCGCTCTTGCCTCCGACGGCCACCCCACAGAAGTAGTACCCTATGATGCAAACGACGGGCAGTAAGCAATTATTCTGGGGGAAAAAAATGTTTTGATAACATTAATCCTTGGCTGTAGGTATGCTCTGATCTGAGCTGGCTGTGTATCCAGAAAGTTCCAAGCCTTTCCAAGAGTTAATAGAGCGTTTTTTTCTTCGCTCCTTCGGCCAGGTCCTAAACGAATAGAAAAGTTTTGACTTCCACTCAGGAAATAGTCAGTCTCATTTCCTCCTTTATTGGTGAAACTTCGGAATCTTTGCCAAGGCAGTAATGGAAGGTCTGTGTCAGCCTCTGCCCCCCCCCCTCCACGAAATGGATGCTGAGGAAGGAGAAGAGCGTAAGTGTTAGTGAGGTCACGTTGTGTCTGCCCCCCAATGTCAGAACTGAGGGGTAGATCACACAGAACTTCGGCCATTTAAAAATAAACTTGCGCGGGAGGGGAGGGTTTTCAAGATGTTGAGGCCACGTCCTTGGAATATTCTGGCGTTTCGGTGCATATGGCCCACTGATTCTGGTTCTGCTGAATTGTGCATTTTTCACTATGCATACTCCTTCTTCAATCACGGATCATATCAATGTTTTCGATTCAAGGACCTTTCTTTTGACGTGCATCAATCTCTGAGCTTACAGCACGCATTCGTTAAGGTCCGATTAGAGCTGATCGGGACGATCCCCCCCTGCCCCCCCATGTCTTTCATCTTCAAAGAAACTNAGCTACCTGCCCATCATGGTTGACAAGTGGCCGTATATTTTAGAAGTGTATGAAAGGGTTTCCGGAGACCTGTTTGGAGTGAAGTATTGTTTGAGTCACATCAAAGACATGCAAACTGCATCTGTTATTCACATTTTTACAGCCATCCATCCAAGATTGAGAACATGTGACTGCACATTGTCTCTAAAAGCATCAGACTGGACACCAGGTGCCAGGATATGGGTTTGAGTGCCTCATCAGGACCGACCTGTTGTTACGGGTAGATACCCAACATGTCCGCTTCCTGTTAATACTGTCGGTGTCACCCAGTCCCAGCTGGCGTGTCTCATCATTTGGTGCCTTCCTGCACAGAATAAAAGGCTAGAGTTTGAGCTACAACCATAGAAATCTCTCCCATATGGTGTGTCCTCCACTTAACGTAAAGTAGCGATTAAATGGTGAAACAGTGTACCGCCGATTGGCTGTGGCTGCAGGGGGTGGCACACATCTGTGTCTGTGTTCGTGCTTGTGGGAGACGGCTAAGTACACCATGTGAAGCACGTTTACTTTGAACATGTTTCTTAAAACGAACCGTCATTGAGATATTTAATTGTCCATCCATCGGTTTTCCATTCTGTTGAACCTGTTGAACCTGAGGTCCTTGAAATTATTTATTCTGTATTGTCTCTAGATGGTACCGAATACCGGCTGCTTCTCATTTTAAGAATGACACCCTAATTGTGGTCTTCATCAACACTGTGATGATGGAATAGAACCGTCTGGTGTTCATTGACTTGTCCATCCATCACCCATTCATTTTCTAACCACTTGTATTGATCAGGCAGACTTGGAGCTTGTCCCAGGCAGCATAGGGCACAAGGCTGGGACACATTATTATTAGTATTCTTTAGATCTGTTTTATGAAGAATTTTCAAACAGGGAGGTATCAGGTCTATTGAGGTGTGTAGAATTCTAAAATGAAAAAATAACTAAATGTAACATGAACAGTGTGAGATTGAGCTCCTTAACGAGGCCTTGTCAGATAGAGAGGGAATGAAATGTGGCCGACTCCAGGAGGACCCTGTCTTACGGAAGACGAGAAAAGCTGAGTCGTTTGAGAAATCCCCCCTAAAAAAGGATTTGGTATGTTCACCACATGTCCGATTTTCAACATGTTCATTGTGCTATTGAGCTAAATGCAAGTGAGTTCTTAATAATAATTAATAAAGAAACACTCTCTTTTTAAAAAACATTTGTAAACATAGTTTATTGAACTTGAAACTTACGACGTGCCTTGAAACCGCAATCATCGCGATTGCATCATTGGCCTAACAGCTGAGCAATAGGAATTCGGATGGAGGGAGAAATTTGGAATGATAGAAGCACAGGGTAGAAGAGAGGGGACCAGCCTAGGTGGAATGTCAGTCCATCGCAGGATGGGCGCACATACACTTCAGGGGTTTTAAAGACAATAAATTGACTATCCAGAGTGCTTGGAAGAAGCCCAACACAACACAGGGAGAACTTCCAATCCCACTAGGCAGAAGCAACCATGCAGGTGCAAAGCTACAGCGCTGGCATATCCTGGCTATTCTTATACTGGAAAGCCAAATAAACCCTGGACTTCAATTCCACACGGGATCTGTCCCACGTCGCACAAAGGGGATCCGTGCTCCACACTCTCCCATGGATGCTAGGGCAAATCTCCCACGGCAGCCCCCCACCCCGGCCTGCTTCCTCCATTTCCTGGAATCCCGGCACGGCCGCGGAGGTCCGGAAGGCCTGCCACGTCCTGGCCCTCACAGTCCAAGGCGCAGTCATGAAATTGACTGTATCCTGCCTGCCTGCCTGCAGCAGCCTGCTAATGCATTTCATTTCAGTACCGGGAAGCACGAAATTCCTTGGCAGTTCCAGAAAATCTGGGCCTCCTGCATGTACCTCCTCACCCGCCTTTATGCTCTGTGCTGCCTTAATTCTCAAGAATCCAGCAGTCTGTGCATTTTCCAGATGCTCCCTGCCATCCCGGCCAGGGCCTTTAACTGCACTGGGCTCTCTGAACACTGTAGAGTGTCCTTTTCATCCAGCTGCACTCAGTGCCCTGGGAACTTGACAACACAAAAGTCATTTCTATTAGTTTCTGTTTTTACCCTCTCTGGGTGTCCCTTTGTTTAAGTTTGGGAAATTAGTGGGGGAGAGGGGTAGATTAACTGGTTTTATTAAGACTTGTTGATTGCAGAGATTGAATAAGATGGCCAAAGTGGATGTGGAGCATTCTGTGAATATCGATTTAAGGCAACATCTGTTGCATATTGTGTGTCATTGTGTGTAAATGATTCTCTTTATGTTAAAGAAAAGAGGAAAATTCCCGTTTTAATGCACAGGCTATTTCCATGAGTCACCCATGTAGGGATGGCACATTTACCCCTAAATAACTTAGTTACTGATTGACTGGCCTTTAATAAATCCATCTCGACCCCCAGGACAACCTTATTTTTCCAATTCCTCGTTGAATGTGTTGTGTGTGATGGGTTCAAAATAGCTTAACATCCATTATATTTAATCCATCTGTAAGTGCACTCGCACAATGAAACCTTCTTTTTAAAACTGTCAGTGCAAATTTCTCATGTCTGCGCTATTGTTTCCAATGAGGGCAGAAGAATGCTGGGGCCAAACGGAGAAGGCTAATTCAAGCAAGACGAGATGAGTGGGGGGTCCATGTCGCTCGCTCCCTCGTGCGCGCGAGCGTCAGCCGGCTCGCTGCTGTCTGGATGCGTATGGGAAACTCATGTCGAAACGGAGATGGTACCGGGCAGAAATGCCGCGTACCTGGGAGCCGACGATGTCGCCCCGCTCAACAGTATTTTTCTGAGGGGGGATTAGCATACTTCCTATGCTGTGCGGGACACGCAGCCAAAACCAGCAGGTTTAGGAGAGAGTCGAGGTCTGCTTCGAGTTTTTGGGCGATTCTTATAATTACTTTGTCTCGTCTAGGAGGGGACTCTTTAAAGCGATCCAGAGCGCCGCCGAATTAACGTTACAGACTGAGAAAATGCTTTAAAAGAGAGCGGTTCTTCGCTCCCGCAATCAAAAAAGACCAGAGAATGTTTACGAGGCCTGCAGTAGCCACACTGACTCTCGAACCCGAGAAGCCAGTGACGACGTCTCCCCAAACCCAGAGCCCGGGCTTTACTGCGACGGCTTAAAAATAGACGTTTCTTAAAACTGCGGCTTTTAATAACAGCGGGTAAAAATGTGCTGCGAGTTAACTGTCCCATCAAGGAAAACCAAGAGAAACACAGAGAGAGTCCCAAAACAAATTGGGAGGGCAAATAAAGAGATTTTGCTCTTTTCGGGGCGCGAGCCGAAGTGAAGCGGGACAAAGGCGGACCACACGTCTGGGCTGAGCTCGTGCGGCGGGGAGCCCGGGCATTTTAACGCCGAGCGTTCGGTCAGCCCCGGCATGACGTCATGCCGCCAGTGCGTGGGAACGAGGAAACGCCGTCCACCCTTTTGCTGGGAGCGAAGGTTCGAGCGCGGCGTTCTCACCCATACCTGCCAATTATCCACTTTGCCTGTGATTGACACAGATGGTATCATGGTAGACTTACCGTGTTTTACCAGCTAACAGTGATACAATATACTTATTTGTATATATCTGTATTTGTATTAGTATATTCACATACCTATGTAGCTACTTCCAGAACTGAAGTAAAAGCAGGTGTTTTAGTTGATCAGATAGGATTGTTGAGTCGATGCATTGTGTTAAACTATCCAGCTTTGTTTTTCACCTTACAAATCATGCACAGTAGGGAGATGTGTGTCGAGATTTTTACTTACTTTCTGGTTATTTGTTTGCTTATACCAACTTAATTATTTTTTCTCCAGAAAATGGTGACCTGCATCAGTGTGTAGAGCTGAAGGTTGCTGCTTGCAAATATATTTTTAAGTCTGAAGTTCTTTGTAATGAAATTCTTCACTATTTTTTGCATTTATGTCTTTTAGGTGCTTGTGAGGATGGATGATGACGATTTTGGGGGATTTGAGGTAGGTATCACATACCTTTTAATGATTTAAAATAGGCTGCATGCATATCACAATAGCCATGTAAGCTCCAACGGTTTACAGCTCATTCAAGGCACGTTTTGTTTTTCTGGCGTTAACATACACATGCACATTATTCTTTAACTTGTTTTTTTTTTTTAACTTAAGTGAGGGTCCAGTCACCGCTGACAGTGCACTAAATGCATCGCCTCAATACAGCATCTCTGTATCGGTTTCATGTAATGAGGAGCGTGTGTATTTTTTACGGTATTAAAAATAATACCTTTGGGATTTCTAAATACTGGGGAATGTCACAACACTGTCATACATCCCTTAACTAACTCCAAAACTTATAAAGCATTCCTCACTAGATATAAAATGACCGTGGGATTGTTCTGGTTTTGAGATCTCCACTGTTGAGCTTACGTGGAAGGTCTTCTTGGTCGTCCCCATTGGCCATTTACAAATGCATGAAGACCCATCTGTTCCAGGAACTCCCCTAGTAGCAGTGTGCCTTTCTGTGTTCCCTTAATGTTCTTAATGTTGCACTTCTGGTCATTGAATTGTCCCGCTGGTTCGTGCTTTGTTGGAAGATGACATGTAGCTCTTGCTGCTCCTCTACCACTTGCACTTGTAACTGGACATTTAGTTGAATTCTCAGCTTAGCCGCACTAATGCCTAGTCAACACCTCGGCAGCGCGTTAGTTTGTAATGTTTGTAATGGCTGCTTTTCCTTCACTCTGGTGAAACTCCTCCAAAACCATTTCTACTGTTTTTAGATCAGATAGCCAGGTCATGTAATATGACTCACTCTCCCTTGTATGTAGCTTGGTGTGTCCAGACTTGTAACTGGTACTGTGTAGTCTAACACAGTGTTTCTGGTTCCAGCATTTATGTATTTAGTTATGAATGCTTTTAGCATCATATTTTTATAATTAAATTCTGGTCTTGATCCTGCTGGAACTGCAGTCGATTTTCATGAAACCGGGGTTCAGAGATAATGTAAATTATAAGCACATGAACTTGAGATTTCTATTAATAAACCAAATACAATTGCACTTACATGATAGCAGCTTGGGTGGAAAAAAAATATTTTTTTATTCCCCGGACACAAACATTTCAAGCTTGAAAACAGTTTCTTTTTCTCGGTTTCTGAAGAATGTGTTCTCTTTTACATTGGGTTTGCCAGAGGACGCTCAGCATTGTTGTTCAGTGGCCTGAGTATCTCCCTTTCGGATGTGGTGGCATTTCACTCCACTGGAGCGCATCAGATGAAATGAATCATCTGCTCCATGTTTTGTTCAATGTTCCGTAAAAGTATTTTAGCGTCCTCTCCCACACGCATTGTACGGGTGGAAATTACTAAACAGTGAGAGGGTGTGGAGATTTCAAGGGAACTCCCCCCCCCCCCCCATACCTGTGACTGATTGTATTTTGAATATGAAGCAAGTTTGCTGTGTCTGTTATAAAGAGAGAAGGAGAAAGCGTGCTTTATTTGTGGTACAGCGCATATCCCATCCAAGCGCATGGCCAGCCATGTATCCCGTACCCCTGGAGCCTGTTTTGGGGGGGTTAAGGTTTTGCTCAGGGGCCCAACGGGGACGTCAGTCTGCCGTTCCTGTGATTTGAACCCGTGACCTGATGCCGGGCTTGTCTTAGCATGCTGAGCCACTCCACCCCTATAAATCAGAAATGCTATTGAAATAGTTTTGTCCTTCCCTCCTGTACCATCACCTGTTATCTTTGTGCCTTCGTGCTGAGTGAGTCAGAAAATAAATCAACATTCATTCTGCTGCAGTTCATTCCCATTATCATGGGGCATAGTAGCCCATAGATATTTACCAGCATGCCTCATTACAGATGCAGGTCCTTGCCATAGAGGTGAGTGGAATTGTCCACTATGAAGACTTGATTTGTATTAACAATTTTTGGTGCTTTGGATTTAAAATACTGTATATCAGGAATGCTATTATACTGTATAATTTCCATCAAATTAGTAATTGGCTGTTCCTGTTACTCCGCCTCACTAGCACCCACCCCCCCATTATGAAGTTCCAGCATGTGTCCTCATATTTGTATCAGATAAGCTCGTCCATGGAAGTATGAAGTATTTCCTCCTTCCCAGATTGTGCAACCTGAATCATTTTTTTTCTCCATGAATAAGAATGAATGAATTTTGTTTCCTGTTCCATCGGACCCCTTATTGATGACTAATAAGGAATGAGAACCTTCCGAAATTTTTCACCATGAGGGGCAAGATCCAAATGCTTGCTGAGAGAGTGTGTCATGTATCAACAGAAAAGCTGGGTGAGCAAATCATCAGGATATTCTAAGGGCAAATTGCTCATCTGGTGGGTTGCAAAAATGTTTTCTCATCTTGCATTAAGTTAATTCCGCCTGTTTTCATACCTTTTGTGAGAGATAACACCAGCTCATTTTATATTTTACTAGAGCAGCCCCCACAGCTGTAATCATGCATTTCTCAATATAAACTCTGATTCCAGTTCTGATGTATTTGTCCCAGCAGCAGAAAGTCTCACTCCCTATGTGACACACTTTTCCAGGGATGACTCCTTTTCCCATAGCCAGTGGGCCAGTCCCGGCTCTGGGGGCCTCACAGAGAGGGGGGGGGGTTGGCTACAGGTGGCATGGAGAACACTGTAAAATACAAACAAACGACAACGGCAGAGTTAGGCCCAATCCCAATTCTATTTTAAACCCCTTTGCCTTTGTTAGCAGTCAGGAGAGGTGTTAGCTGCCAGTAATTTGTTTTTGCAACTAGGTTGTGAGGATTTTGCTCAAAAGTAGACCACTGATGCTTTTGCTGTCTGCTGTTAAGGCCTCGTCTCACTTTATCTTAACTGAAATGGGCATAATGGTGTTTCACTATAGTTCTAGATAACTCCTCTTCTACTGGGCTTGTCTTTTCAAAAGCGTCTGTTACTGGCAGTAATGGCCGTTTGTTTGGATGTTTTCATCATTGCCAGATCCGTGCTATTTCTAATAGCTGTTCCTGAAGTCATCTACAACAAAGATTAATAAAAACTGGATTCATATTATTATGCAAGGTTCCATATGGCATCTGGATGCTGTTTGAGATCCTACAAATGAACCTGAGCTTTGCACTGAATGTTTACGTAGTCTACGCCCCTTCACGTTGCTGTCTCTGTTTCGCAGCCACCGCCTAATGTTAATGTCTTGCATGTTGATTTATTTTCACATGTTTTTTTCCCCCGATTTTTTAAACTTGGGCTCGCAGGCCAAATGTGAAGGAAATTTTTCAGCATTTCAGGGGATAACTGGGATACACAAAGCAGATGACCCTAAAGAGTGCCATGTGAAGGGTGGTCTTCAGGAACATGGCCCAGGGCTGTTTTGGAGAGTCACTGTTGCTCCCAACAACAATTTCCTCCCCGGAAAAAAAACAAGAATAAATTGCTGTGACTTGATTGTTCCAATAAGCTGGGAAGAAGTGAATTGCAGCTGGGAATTGGAGGACCTGGACGATCTCTGTGTCCGTATCGCCCATGTGCTCGCCTTATTGGAGGAGAGCGGGTCCCTTTATGCATTTGTTTGTTTGTTTGGAGGGTTTCTTTGTATCCAAGTTTAACTTTTTCCCCCCCCGAATGATAAATTTTTACCAAAATGGAGAACATCCCATTGCAATCAGAGCATCTAAACAGTGGATCCTCCTTAACGTTTTTTCTTGCAGTATGTGTGTGTTGTTTAATGTGTGCACCCCAGATGAATATTGTTTTTGAAGAGTTCATGCAGTCATTTGTTTTATTTATAACATCAAAAAAATGAAAAGGATTTTGAGATGAATGATTACCTGGACTTATTTTAGGCATGTTTGCAATTTTTCCATTTGTAACACAAATGCGGACAGCTGGTTCAGTAAGAATAACAATTGTTATATGTAAGCCTGGGACCTTGACTTGACTAAGGACACTGCAGCTAAAAGGCGTGATTTCTTGGTTCTGGATCCATACCTGTGTTCGCTGTGATGTAATAATCTCCCTGCGACTATTGACCTTCCGCAGGCTGCCGAGGCGTTTGACTGCGAGGATGATGCTGCTCAGATCCCCGTGTCCCCCGCCATCCCTTGGGCGGCCTTCTCCTCAGGTACGCATTGCTCCTGTCTGGCTGCAGATGGGGATACTGCCCCCTCTGGTCTGTATGTCAAATGACGCATAATCTAGCATATTAGGATTGTAATGTTTTTGTTTGTTGTAGTAACCACAGTATGTGATATATTCATATGCTTTTACTTTAACAGTTTTAATGGCCTTTTTTCTTTGATTAGAATTGTAGAAATCCAGACCTTTTTAATTAGAAAGGGACTTAAGTCCCAAGCGTCACAAGGATAAGCTCGTCGAAGGTGGGTGGAAGTTTGCCTTCATTGATTAATTCATATTATACAGCTTAAATTAAATCTTATTTATATGTGGCTGCTTTGCGGTGGGGGATCTGGTGGCCTGGAACCACTCATTTGATCCCCTGAACAGGATCAGACACATCTCCTAGATTATAGGGGTACGATATTATATGCATTTAGCCTGAAAAAAGACTCATAGTGCAACTTTACGGTAGGGATCTCGGACTCCACAAGTGCTGGAGCACAAACACATGTAATTTTTTTTTAAGATTTCATTTTATTTATAGGCATGCATGAGCGCATAATGTCTAACTTGGGTGGGTCACGGACGCCACTGTAGGCTGGTTCTCAGACAATCACCAGCCACAAAAGCTCGGACCCCCTCATTGTTTCTCTGAGCAGCGACCCAATGGGCTCCAAGGCTCTTTCTGGGTTGTACAGCAGAGCATCTGGTGCAAGTGTGTGTGTGTGTGTGTGTGTGTGTGTGTGTGTGTGTGTCGCTGGGTATTTATAGATGCTGAAGGACTCACTCTTAGTTCACAGTGCAGTGTTATTGTGGGGCTGTTTTGATCTGAGGTTCATGGACGTTGCCAAAGAAGAACTCTGGCTGGAAAGAAACGTATCGCTGCCCACTAACTGCAAATTACAATAAATAAGGGATTACGGAATTGTACCACCCTCTCCGCCGAGGTAAATATACAAATTTGCTCATTTGCTTTGTAGCAGCGAGTAAATTAGACGGATTCCTCACCACTGGCATGGAATGAATCGGCCCGGAGAATAATCCAAATACATCTGGGTGCCAGGAGGCGTTTTCTGTGAGATTGTGGTTTTCCAATAGTCTAAACCGATCATGCAAATGCATTACCAACAACCAGCCAGAGTTTTTATACCACACATAAAGCCAGGAGAGGAAGAGAAGGCGAGTTGCTGTTTATTCTGTGCCGCCCACGGACCCAGGCTGCTCTGGTTAGGCTGGCCTGCCGGACCACACTCCTCTGTGACTCGACATAGAAAAAAATTAGAGGGAGAGTAAAGGTGCTTCTAGGAAAGCTGGCTAAGTGAAAAGCAATTTAGAGATGCACGACATATTGGTTAACATATCTGAGTCACCAGTATTCATTGAAAATCTAAATATTGCCGTTGATCCAATGTGTCGTTTTCGGTCCTTACTGCCAGCCGATATTTATACTACTTCAATATTGAAAGTGAGCATCACCGGAACTAAAGACACAACTATTAAAATAATGGAGATGATCGCATAAGCATTTCCCCTAGTGGAGGATGAGGGATTTCGTTGGGTCATTCACCACTTAGAAGAGGTCTCAAAGCACCGACCCGTGACATATTTATAATGGGCTCTTTGCACATAAAGCAACGACACCATATATGCAAGCGTGAAATATGGCTTCCTGTTTGAGGAACTATGAGTGCAAGAAAGGATAAACTTGTGTTTCATAAGCTAAAAAAATACCACAAACACTGTTGTGCACAACATCTTCAAAATATAATCTAATATAGAGTTTCCACACACATCTAAAGACAATTTGATAAATCCAGTTAACTTCAGCATGTTTTTGGACTGTGGGGGGGGAAACCCCACAACGACACTGGAACAAACTCCACACGCATGGCACCCTGGCAGAGACTGAAACCTGACATTTTGTATAATGTATTCTCATATTTTACAATATATTTATTAATACACACACTTTATATGATACTTTTACAGCCACAGTTCATGATATATTTGTTTGTGCACAAAATGTATTTGATAAAGTTAGAATAATCACGAATAAACACGGTCCACACAACCTCATTTGAACGCACCGTAAATGCAACAACTTTAGCGCATGCATGCACTGTCACTAACACTGAGGCCAAATAGAACATTGCCGCATTTTGCAACACAAATCTTAACATTGAACAGCTTTAACTCGAGCTCTGACAACTTCTAACACTGTGAGGTTTGTTGTTGTTCTTCATGAATCTGAAGCAAAAATCCCGTACAGCAACCTCTCCTGTTTCCGGGCTTCTGTTTGAAACTAAGAATAGCAAACACAGATTAGACATTCTCCGACAGAATGACTGGGGATGTTCACAGATTCTTCATTAGCACATGCATACACTATCACTGTCCAGGAGTAATATTGATTAGCATGAGTTATAGCTAATGCCAGCCACAAAGTTGAAAGAATAAAAGACCCTTCGTATCCATGGATGCAAGACGAGGCATACATCTTAAAGCCCTTTTCTAATTTACTCATTGGGACTTCGGAGGAGGATTTATAAAAGCGATATATGTTGTTGACCATAAGTTTGGACAGGTCCTGTAAACAGCACGTATAAAGCAATGCCATTTTTCACAGACCAGAAACGAGCATTTCCATGAATGTGGAAGCTGACGTGCAAAGAGCCCATTCATTATTAAATCCGGCCCAGAGATCGAACTTTTGTTTTCCACAAAAATATCAGTGGTGTCAAGCTCAGCAAATTTCACCACTGGGAAATGTTTCTTTTCTTTTCTGTACAGCTCAGTACCTGGCCTTTTGACAATTTTAAGTGCGGATGTAGAAGCCAGAGCATGTGAGCAGAGTGGAGCAGAGTGGAGTAGAGCGGTCGGAATTTGGTCAGAGCGAGGAGCGGTTTTGTAATTAAGGCTGGAGCGGTAGCTCTATCTCGCTCCAATTTCGCTCCGATAACGCTCACACTACGACTCTGAGGCGTGCCCAAATCTACCCAGAATTCATCTGTACAATTATCAATTTACACAAATTGTTACACAAATTGGAATTCGTAAAGTATTTCACAAAGGAAACTGATAGGTCATACAAGTGTACTATTCTTATCAAACGTATAGATGACAATAATGTAGGGCAAGAACAACAATGTCATGAAACTGTTTCAGTGAGTAAAGATTCACTTTGGAATCACTTTTCTCAGAAACATGAGTGTGCTACGCGAACAAGCGGAAGCCAGAGCAAAACGCGTGCAAGTTTTATATGGTTGTAGCATATCAAGTCTATAAAGTAAATTAAAGTATAAAAGCCTATAAAGTAAATATTGGTAATCGAATTCGTTTTGTCATTCAAAGTAGGTCTAATAAGATTTTTTTTTTAATTTCACGTT